TAGATTACAAAAATGTAAATCTCTTTTTTGATTTTTCTCATTTAAAAAAAAACATTAAAGAACCGTGTAAGCATAATTTAAAGTGACCCTTCATGCAAAGATAGCAATGTCTGATTTTCAACGGTACCCTTGAAACCTTCATGCAATCAAAAATGTGGAAGAAATTGTCGTTTTCCTGGATCGAAATCTGTTTAATATTGATAATTTCTCCATTGCTTTTTATAAGCAAGAAATGCGCAAGTCACTTTCGCAGAGAATCCGTAAAAAAACACTTAACAGTTTTAAGAAACAAAAATTTGGAGACGTAACTCATATTTGATTAGCCAATGTATTCAAGGGTACCGTTGTAAATCGGGCATTTCAATCTGCATGGAGGGTCACTTGAAAATACTCTTACAGTCCCTGTAAGGACTTTCATAAAAGTTCTAAGAGGGGGGAAGAAGGTTTGTTAAATTTGAGTTTGAACTAGGAAAAATGTTATTTTAAAAAGATTTAAAATAAGAAGATTTTCATGAAGAGAACTAATCTTTTTAAATCTTTTGGGAATTCTGGTCTTCAATGGTTACAGGGGTAGATGTATTGGTATTCAGGGGTGTATATATTTTCACATGAAATCAACTCCTCGCTTTCTTTCACTAAATTTTTTTTAAGGTTTCTCCCTGAATTTGAAAATTGGTGAAATCGAAAAAAGGTTCTATTATAATTTTCAATGACTCCCCCTATATACTATTTTTGTACTGAGCTGAAAACTTTAGAATGGTGGATATTGAGATCAATTTTTCAAGGGTACTTTTGAGAATCGGACAAAATTACGTTCATAGTCTCTTTAATTAGGAATGACTCAAAATTGTCTCTAGCACCACTATACAGTGTTAATTCATCGGTGAATAGTTTTGAATGTCTTCTTTCATATACCGTATTAGATATTAAAATTTTCGTTAAAAAAATCTGTTATTCAAAATCTTTTCACGTTTAAATGAATTTTATTGTAATATGATTGCCACATAATATTTTTATTATTCTTTTAGTATTAAAGAACTACACAAATTACGTTAGACGACATTTAGAACTATTCACCAACTGTCATGTTTCGTGGGACACTCTGTGTTCTTGAGTAATCTGGTAGTGTTTCAGTAGAACCTGGAGGTATGAAACCAACCCTCAGTATTTCCTAGTACATAGAGAAATTAAACCTAACCTAGGTGTTTCTTTGGAATAAGAAGAACCAGATTTCTGACAGAGTGGTGGGGGGGG